CGCGCTCGGGAAGAAGAGGGGAGCGGGCGGCAGGAAGTGCCCCTTCCCCCCGCCCAGTCCTGATCATGGTTCCCCTCGCCCGCCCAGCGTGCGGGGGAGGAGCGGGATGGGGGGAGAGGGATACCCTGGGGGGAGGGGCCTCGGGGGCAATTTGGGTGGAGCACCCCTCCCCGCTCGGGGCTAGGATAGGGGGTCCCCGCGCGCTCCGAGCGTCTCCCTTGCGGGGGGCGGGGCGGGCGCTGACGTTGGCACGTGTTCGAGCGCCGCGCGGCCTGGGTAGTGGGGTGGGGGCGGGGGTGTTGACGCGACCCCCGGCGGCGGAGACGGGAATTGCAGCTCCGGGCCGAGCGCGGGGAGGGGCGCGCTCCAAGGACCTCATCTGAGTCCGCCCTGTCTACGAGGTTCCCGCTCAGCCTGCTGGGGTGCCCTTTTTTCGCGGGGGGGGAGCTGCCTCCCCTTTATACCAGATCCGGAGGAAAACCCGAGCCTTTAAGACCCCCAGTCTTCCCCAGTGGGAAACACGTGCCCACTGGTGGGAATAGCGGCCTTGCCTCTGGATCTCTGACACCCGGCTCCCTGGAGGCCCTGGGCCTCGTCAATCCTCAGTGCCTCCTGTCCAGGCCAGCAGGCCCAGACTTGACCCTAGTCACTGATGGGGTTGGTGTGTGCACCTTCTCTGGAGGTGGGGGCAGGCCAGTGGCTGTCCTCTCTGAGCTCCACCTCCCTCAGCCCCCAGGGTGGCCCAGGAGCCTGGACCCTGGCTGGGAGGTGGGGTAGGGCCTTGCTGAACATGACCCCAGAAGGCCCCACGGTGGCCTGCCCCCTCCCTTCCTCTCTCCTCTAGACCTGGCCTCCTCTGTGCCCCAAGCCACACTGTCATCAAGACAGTAACCCCCTTAGTCTACACACCCTGTCCTCGGCACTGTCACCACTACCTGCCCCCTCCCGTTTCCACATCCAGGCCCAGCCCGGTCTTGTCTCTGGGCCCTCCCCCTTCCCCTCCTCACCCCGACTGCCTGAGCAGAGTCTGCTCCCCTCTTCTCCCTCAGCGCACAGCAGGCCCCACTTCCCGCTCCTGGCCAATCTCCTTTGTTTCTCAGAGCCTGTGTGGTGCCCCAGGAGTGCCCCTAAACCCAACTGTGGCATCTACTCGAAAGCACCTCTCCATTTCTGCCCAACTTTTGCCCTCTTTCCTCGCCGGGTCCTCGAGAGAGAGTTCGGTAAGGACTTGCCTGCCGAACGAGAAGCCCCTGGGGGGCCAGGGGTGGGCAGCACGCCCCCTATTCCCCTCCCTGGGCTGGGGCCCCACACAGGGCTCTGGAGCAGCATTAGTGGGGGCGCCTGGTCCTGGCTCCCACCGTTGGTTGTCGGGGGGGTCTGGGCGGGGGTGGCCGATAGGTCTCCGACCCCCACGGGGGGTTACCAGAGGTTTGAGGAGGGTCCTGTTCCAGGGCCGTGCAGGGGTGGGGAGGGCTGGCCTGAGGCTGAGCCAGGCACATCTGGCAGGCCCGGTCAGCCTGCCTAGCCTGCCGATGACAGCCCTATTTATAGTCTCCATCAGAAAACGCTCCTGGCTGTGGCAGTGGGGGCCCGCTTGTGCCTTGAGACCCGGGGCCTCGTGCCAGGAGGATCGTGGACTGGGGCAGCTGTGGCCCGTGCGGGTTACTGCCTGGCCTGCTCACTCCCCCAGCGGCCACCTCCAGGCTTGCTGAGGGACTGAGGCAATAGTGGGCCCACAGCCCCCACTCCCCACCTGCCTCCCAAGGGCCCCTGTGCCCACAGCCACCCAGTTTTCCATCGGAGAGGTCATGGGCTGGCCCTGCCCTGAGAGGACAGGGCGGGAGGGGGAGGCCCCAGGCAGCTGTATGCTGTCGGTTCTGAGAGCTGCCTGTCCTGTGTGTGGCGGTGGTCTTGCTGAAACAGGCCTGGAGGCCCCGCCAGCTCCTCCAGAACAGAGGGCTCCCAGGGCGAGAAGGCCGCTCTGGGCAGGCAGTGAGCTCGCAGGGCCGGCCAGGCCACACAGGAACCAGGCTGGCGGGCTGGGCACCCAGGCGCCCTCCAGGAAGCCCTGCCTGAGGGTGGCGGGGGTTGCTCTGCACAGCTGGCCTCACCACCCGCCTGGCACCAAGACCAGGCGGCCTGCCCAGGCTCCAGAGAAGGGAGGCCTCCCCCGGGAGCATCCCGGGTGACCCTCCGGCCAGCAGGAGCAGAGGCTGGGAGGAGCTGCCTGTGCCAGGCGGGGCTGTGGGAGGCGGCTCCGTCCTGCCCTGACCGCCAGGCCCCTGCTGGGTGGTCTGAGGGGCTGTGTTTGCCAGGGCCCTGCTGGGAAGTGCGCTGGGCAGGGAGGGCAGGTGCCCCGCCTCTCCAGTCTCTCCATCTCTCTGTGTCTCTCCGTCTCTCTGTGTCTCTCTGAATCTGTCTCTTGCACACGGACTCCAGTCAGGGAACGGTGTGTCGCCAGGGGCTCAGGAGTCTGGTTGTCACTCGGTAAATAGCCATGAAGCGTGTAGACCATCCAGAGCCAATGTCCCCCACTCCCAGAAGTCAGAGGGCAGGAGGCGGGACCACAGGGGCACTGAGGCCCAGGGGAGAAGGGAGCCCTCTCCTTGAGTCTCCTGGAGACTGGGTATCTTCCTGGGGTGTGAGGTGCATGGGTGGCAGCCTCATGGCACCACTACCCCAGCCTGTCTGCCTGCCCCACCCCGGAGTGGAGAAGGGGGATTCGGGGGCCCCCTGGTGCACTGGTGCTGATTCCCTGGGAGCCTCCGAGAGGCCCGCCTCCTTCTCAGGAGAGGGCCCCCCAGGTCTCAGGCTAGAGGCAGGCACAGCGCCCACTGAGCCACCTCACTGAGGCGGCCTGGTGGAGCCTTGCCCTGCCCGGGAGGAGCTGCCTGCTGGCTGGCCGCTGGCCACGCACCCAGAACTTGCGGCGCGTTTTCCACCCCTAGCCCCCAGGGTGGCAATGTGGCTGCTCTGCCCGAGTTCTGGGAGCAGTGACCAGGTCGAGGTCACTCCCTTCCCTGCAGGGAGGACCCGTGAACCCAGCGGGGCTCCAGGTGCTCAGAGTTCCAGAGGAGAGTTGTGAGGGCCGCCCCCGAGCCTTGGCCCTCCTGCTGCTCCCACCCCAGGCTCTGGCCCACCCCTTGACAGTGAGGGGCCCTCTGGGACCAGTCACCGCACCCGGCCACACTGCCCCAGGGATCGGCCAGACCAGAGATGTGGGCCGGCCCTCCGCACCTCCCTGGGGCTGGCCGTCCGGGCTGACGGGGTGGCAGCCCAGTGCTGGCTTGGACCCAGAAGCAGGGCTGGAGGGACATGGGAGCTGTGGGGGCCTGGGGGCAGTCCCGGGGGCTGGGCCCGCGGCCACCTTGCTGCTCTGACTCTTCATCGCCCGGCTGGACACTGCCCCTGGGGACCCCCCCTCCAGCTCTTCCTGCAGGAGGACCTGGTGGCTGGACCAGCATCGGTGGCCTCTGCTAATCCTTTTTTTTTTTTTAGAATTTCAGTATTTTTTGTGGATTTGCCGGTGAGACACAGTGTGAGGGACAGTGTGAGGACTGGGGGTAGGCAGAGGACAGTGCACTGCACCCCGGCAGTGGCCCTGCCCCCTGCACTCCCCAGGCTTCCGCAACCTCCGCTCTCAGACTTTGGAAAGTAGGAGGTTTCGCGGGTCCGGCGTTGCAGGACTGGAAGCCAGCTTTGCTCCAGGTCTGTGAGGCGCCGTCGTGGGCCAGGCCCGGACCCCCGGAGTTCCCCCCCGAGGCCGTGTCCGGGTAGGGTGGCAGCCCTGAGCTCGGCGCCCTGGGTTCTGGGACTGCAGGCCACGGTGCTGGCTCAGACCTCGGCCCTGGGGGGTGTGGGGGTGGAAGCGTTGATTAGGTTTTTATTTATTTACTTACTTAAATGGAGGCTCTGGGGATTGAACCCAGGACCTTGTGCGTGCTAAGCACACGCTCTACCACTGAGCTGCAGTTTGCAGTGTTCCCTGCCTAAATTGAAACGTCATATTCATTGCTGTTACTTTGACAGAACCGTGGTTTCATCTCGAAGGGAAGAGAGAGCTGCGGAGTGAGCGCAGGCCCAGTGGCCAGTGACACTGGGATAAAGCTGTCTGAGGGGGTTTTCCAGGGCACATGGCCCTCTGGCTGTGGCCATGCACTGGGGGCCCTGCCCCGGGCTCTACCCCACATTCACACAGCTCACCTGCCACACCCTCTGGGGGGGGGCTTTGTCTCCTAGCCCCCTGTCTATCCATCCACTTTGGATAGGACAGAGCCCCCTAGAGCCCAGGCACCATGACACGGGAGTCAGTGGTTCCTAACAATGGGCTCCTTCTGGGGACCCACTGCTGGGACACCTGCAGCCCATCCTCTTCCGAAGACACTCAGAGGCGGAAGCCCTGCAGAACCAGGCTGGCAGCCTCTGTGGTCACTTGAGCCTGTGGAGCCAGAAGGAAGCTGGCAGGTGCGGCTTGCTCCAGGTGCCCCCACTGCCACTCCACACCTTTGACTCAGAGCTACATCAAGTCCCTCATCATGGAGGTTCTGGAATCCCCTTCCTCTCGCTGGCCTGAAGTCCTTCACGTCCCCACGGTGGTCTGTCGCTGCTGTCAAACCTGGTGCCTTGGATGGCTCACTGCCCACCTACTCCACCCTGTCTGGGAGCCGGGACCCAGCAGACGTGGAGAATCACCCGGGACCAGGGCTCAGCTCCCCCTCTTCCTGCTGGGGGACCAGCTCCGTCCAGGTGCTCCACCTGCCAGCTGTGGATTGTATCGAGGTAGGTGGGTTGTTCAGTCACACCAAGGAAAAACCGGGTGGGAAACCCCCTAAGGGAACAGCAGGAAGGTGAAGCGGTGGGCGGGCCTGGGGGCGCGGCCGGGAGGGCCCGCTGGCCCTGCTTTGGTTTTGACGTAGGCTCCCCTGGCCTTTCAAGTAAGAGTGAGATAACTCCACGTAGGCCTGCCTCCTGCAGACAAAGGAGCTGCTGCTCTGTCCATCCATAGCTACCCCCACCCACACCCCCTCCCCCGTCCACACGCTCGCCTCCTCCCTGCACACCCCTCCCCCATCCGCATACTCACCTCCTCCTCTGTTGTCTGCCCGTCCTTCCCTTAATTCATCCTGCCATCCATCGGTCTGCCCACCATCCGCCAACCTCACTCATCCTTCCCTTCACCCCTCCATCCACCCCCGCACCCTCCATCCACCCTTCCTCCACCCACCCATCCATCTCTCCACCCACCCATCCTCCATCCATCCCTTCACCCCTCCATGCACCCACCACCCTCCATCCGTCCCTGCATACACTCCTCTGTCTGTCCATCCGTCCATCTGCCCTTCTGCCCATCTTTCCAGATGCTGGGCTTCCCTGCATCCTGCACATCTCTGCCTCTTTGTCTCCAGTGCCTCACCCCATGCCTGGCACGGAGTGGGCGCTGCAGCGACTGGGTGCTCCACGTTCACCCATACCTTCGGTGGGTACCTGTTGAGGGCTTCCCGTAGGCTACATGCAGCACTCTGTTGAGGCTGTGCAGGTGAACAAAACTGAGAAAAGCGCCTGCTGTTTGGGAGATTATCCGCAAGACAAACAAGCAAGAGGCATGGCATGCTAGCTCGTGACACATGAGACGGGGGCAGGTGAAGCAGGGAGCGGGGAGGAAGTGCGGCCGGGGGTGGGGGCAGGGGGTGAGGCTTTGGAGCACACAGCCAGGGAAGGCCTTGTGAGGCGAGCAGTTCAGGCAGAGCGAAGGGCACGTGCAAAGGCCGTGAGACAAGCACGCCAGCTTGGCTGAAGGACCGCAGGGAGCAGGGGAGCGGTCAGAGGCTGGGGCAGTGAGCTGTGGGTCCAGCTCTGGTGGGGCCTGAGGTCCTGGTGGCGACTCTGGGGTCATGAGCTGACGTGCCCTCTGTGTGGAGAAGGGGTCTCGGGGGCAGGGTGAGTGCACGGCCTGTGAGACGGGGTCGGGCCAGGGATGTGCTGTGAAGACTCATGGGGTCATCGGTGGGCCACAGGGCAAGAGAGAAGGGAAGGCAGGTGCCGGGGACTTGGGCCTTAGCACCAGAGGACCGTGGTGCGTGGTCAGCGGAGCTGCAGGAGCTGGTCTGGGGCATGATGGGTCTGAAGTACCCTGGGCCCCAGTGGAAGCTGGCCCGTCACCACTATAGCCCAGGCCTTGCAGCTGGTTGTGTGGATCTGAAGCACGGGAGAGGCGGTCTCCAGGGAGGCGTGGGGGTCGGTGCCGAGGACCAGGAGGCAGGTGGGCTCTCGGGGAGGTAGGGACCAAGTGCAGGCTCCAAGGCTGGGCATCAGGGAGGTGAGGGGGCAGCGGGGGCGTCGGGGGAGCCCCTCAGAGTGGGGGCAGGTGCTCCTGCCGTGAGCACTGAAGTGGGTTGGGGTCCTTGTCAGGGAGGCGGGGGGGTGTGGGAAAGGGGTGCTGGACGGAGGATGTGGGGCCAGTAGGGTTTCTGGACAGTAAGCAGCAGCGGCGTCTTGTGGCTGGGGGCCTAATGGAGGTCCCCTCAGGCCCAGAGGCCACCGAGCCGGCGAGGGGCTGAGCATGCTGGGTGTGCCCGCCCAGTGCTCATTCCTCCGTGATGGAGGGGTGGTGGGCTTCGAGGCGGAGGGGTGAGCCCAGCCCGCCTGGCATGCGGTGCAGCCCGGGGGGCCGGCAGAGCAGGGATGCGGGGTGCCTGGGGTGTGGTGGGGCTGCACGTAGAGGGGCTGGCACCTGAAGGTCCCTCCCCCAGCTCCACCGTGCGGCTGTGTGTCTGGCTGCCCGCAGTCCTCGCCGGCGTGTCCCCTGCTCTTACACCCCCACGCCCCAGGTGCCACGGGTGCATTTTAGAGGAAGCTGTAAAGTCCACGAAGTCGTCCCTGCAGACACGGCAGCCTGTTTCTGGAAAACTGATCACCTGCCTCCTGCCTCTTGACTTCTCATTTGGGAGGGTCCTGACACCCCCAGCCTGCCAGCCGGGCCCCCGAGCCACCCTCCAAGGCCGGGCTGGTGGGGAGGAGGCAGCGCTGGGGCGGCTTCCCCGCGGGGCTGTGGCCAGGGGACCAGTGCCGCTCGGCCGGGGGCTCGCTCTGGGGAGGGCGTGATGGCGCAGACCTGCCCACTGAGAAGGGCACTGGCGACCACCAGCAGCGGTGCCGGGAAGAGCCCGCACACGTGTCCAGCTGTGCAGGGAGGGGCCGCGCCCTGTGGGTCAGATGCGACTCGGAAGCCAGTGTTGAGCACTTTATTAAAGCTGGTGGCGGTAGGTACATCGGGCGGCCCCCTAGCTCGGGGCTTTGAGGTCTTCTCCAGGGACATGGGGCCGCTGGCCTGTGCCCTTCGCTGAGACCCGGAGGTGTTTGAAGGCGGTGGGCAGCGTGCGGCCCAGGAACGGAGGGTCGGTCACATCCTGAACCATGACGACGTACTCCCCTGCAAGAGATGGGTTCTCAACTCACTCCCCAGCTGCCCCCGCCTGCCGGGCTCCTGCCCCACCAGAGCCTCTCTGCCCCTCGTCAGCGGCACCCCGAGCCCCACTTCCTGATCTGGGGCTCCTGCCTCAGGGCCCCGCTGGGGCTCCGGGCCCTTCTCCTCTGGGACCCTGGGACCTGGTTGCTGTCTTGCTGGGTGGCTGGCTGTACAACGGAGGTGGATAAATGACTTTGGGGTGAATGAAGCCGCCTCCCACCTCAGGACACAGCTCAGCTCTGCAGGGTGGGCTGGGTTCAAGGTCTCCCCTCCTGGCCAGTGGGGCTACGTGGCTGAGGGCAGGCGTCCTTTTGAAACTACTTTCCTATCTTTTTAGGAGAAAAATAATTCACTTTCTCTAGAAGGCTTTTTAAACATAATTAGCCTCTGAAGACACGGTTGTCCAGTTTATTTTGTGGGGAGGGGCTCTTGGGGTGGTGGGGGCTGGGCGATGCAGGAGAGAAGGAAAGCCGTCTGCAAACTGTCTGGAGAGTTTCAAAGTTGGAGAAACCATAAAAAAGAAAATAAGGAATAACAGAAAGCGGGGTTGCCCTGGAAACCGCCCCTCCCCGCCCCGGGCCCGCTGGGCTGGCACCGGAGCTTGGAAAAAGCTCGCCGGGCTGGCCTGGGCTCCCACCAGGAACGCGGCCGCAGCTGAAACAGGGCGCGGGAGTCGGCTCCCACCGTCAGAGAACATTCCAGCACCCGGGGCTGAAGACAGGGGCGGGCCGCTTCCCTCGTTGCCGGCTGCCCTCCGACTCCGGCCAGCCCGGGGGCTGCGGACGCCCTGCGTTCCTGGGGCAGGACGGGAAAGGGCCTCTGGGGCTGGCAGGAATTTGCTCAGCCCTGAGTCAGTTCCTTCGGAAGAAACCACGGTTCTGGGGGGCCGGGGGGCCTGGGAGGGGGCCCACATTCCACAGCCGGGGCACCGGGCCTCCCTGGCCGGCCTGGAGGAAAACCACGCATGGCAACACCGCAGTGTTTCCAAGCAGCCGGTTTCTAGGTGTTCCCAGGAACACACAGCACCCCAGCCCACGGCCAAGGGCGCCGCTGCAGAGCCGGCGAGCTCTGAGCGGGCAGCGGCCGCAGAGCCGAGCCCCAGCCTCATCTGACCTTGGTCCCGGGGCCCTTCTCCCAGCAGATGGGAAAGGGCCTGGCTGGGGGCCATCTTGCAGCCTCAGAAACCACCAGGGCCTGGCCCCAGCCGCCACGTGGGCCTGTTGTGGGCCTGGGGCCCAGTGTCCCTGCCAAGCCTGGTGTGGCCTGGCCCACGTTTCAGAGACTCGGCCATTCACCTGGCTTCGCCCCTTACAGCCTGGAAATCCAGCCGATCGCCTGCTGGCCTCTCCTAGCCAGAGCCCGGGAGGGGGCGGGGGTGTCGCCCCCCACCACGCTGGGGTCCCAGGGTTCTGATGGGGTGACCCTGGTGCTGGCCCTCCTGGCCGGTCCGCAGGTGAGTGTGGCTGCTGTTGGAACAGCCAGTGCCAGCCCAGAGCAGGAGGTGGGGCACTGCCTGGAGCCTGGGCCCCCTCCGCCCCAACACTGGCCTGCCAGCCTTCCAGTCAGGACCCCAGAGACAAACAGCCAGGAACACACACCCTGGCCGAGGGGACACGGCGGCCCCCTGCCCGGCACCCGCAGTCCTTTGAGAGGCCACGCTCTGGTGAGGCCCTGGGCCTGTTGCACACCCTCCACCTGCCAGGGCAGTTTTCGTGCGGCCTCGGGGCACCCGGGGAGCCCGCCCGAGGCCCTGAGGGCTGCCCTCCCAGTTCCCGGCTGCCCTCATCAAGACAGCTGTTGCATTTAGGGCCGTGCTCAGAGGATGGCAGCAGGCAGCCTGTCCTCTGAGCTCAACATAAACGATCCATTCGGATCGTGGAGCCACAGCTGGAGACACCTCCCGGCCATGTCCACCCACTGCCCTCTTACCTGGGAAGGCCGCTGCCGCTGGCTCTGCCATGGCCGCCCTGTCAGGCCTGTGGGGAGAAGAGAAGGCCCCTGAATGCCCTGCCCGGGGTCCCACGCATCCAGGGGCCCTGAGGACAGCAGAGGCCTCAGGTGGGCCCGCACACGTCCGCCCTGCCCCGCTGGGCCCGCCTCTCCTTTGACGGGCAGTGCGTACAAGCCCCCTGGCTGCTCCACCTGCACCTGGAGGGAAGGGTCCCCACCGGGCCTGCCCCCTGAACTTCACCATCTACACCCAAACGTGCTCATGGACAGACAGACGGCTCCCGTCCCACAGCCTCAGAACTTAGATGTCGCTTCGAGAAGTGGGGCTCGGCCCTGCCTGGAGGGCTCACAACGCGGAGCAGACGGACCGCTTGGGAAACAGCAGACGGGGTGCGCGGAGTCTGCTTGAACGAAAGAGCAAGAAGGGACGGGGGCAGCCGGGGCTCCGTGGGGTGGGGCGGGGGTGCTGTGTGCCCTTGCGAGGCAGGAAAGAAAATGCAGCCGCAAAGCTGGAAGTGGGCCAAGCTGGGGGCAGGCCTGCCCGTCCTGGGGATGGAGACTCACTTCTGGCCGCAGCTGCGTGGCCCCCAGGCCCCAGCTCCGTGCTTCCATCTGGGCCACGCAGGCCTCTACTCTGCAGCGAGTGATGGGCCCACCCTGCTACCCACAGGGAGGGTCATCTGTCTGGGTGGACCTGGCTGTGTCCTGGCCAGGTCACCCGCCTGGGCTCTGCCTTGGAGGGAAGTGCGGGTGGCCCCATGCGGCCCTGTGCCCCTAGCTGAGCCCGGGCCCGCATCCCCGGTTTCTGCTCCTGAGCCAGGCCCTTGGCCTCCTCCACACCCCTGGGGGACAAGGGAGCCGGCACCGTGTGGACGGCCAACCTGAATCCTGGGGCTGCTAGAGGCACGGGGGTCCCAGGTGTACCAGGCTGGGCTTTGCCCTGAATTCTCCTGCAGAGGGACTTGGGGGAAGCTAGGAGCCCCCACCATGCCCTTCGTGGCTAGTGGTTTCTGGTCACCAGGGCCACGGTGAGCGCTGGGGCTCCTGGCACCGGCTCGGTGACCTGTCAGGTACTGACCCCTTGCCAGGCTGAAATACCACAGGCGTGGTTTGGGTGATAAAAAAATTAAGGACAAAAGATTTTTAAATTACTTCATTTCGAGTGGGGGAAAATGGGCCTTGGCTGGGACCCAGGAGCCACGTTAAAGATTCTGAAGTGTGGGGAAGGAGGGAAGGCAGATAAATAATTCAGCTCTAAGAATAACCAGGACCTGTCAGGCCGCCAGCTTTAAGAGAAATAAACGGGGTTCCAAGAGTTCTGAGAGTTTTTACAGAACCCCCAGGGCTTCGAGAAAGCAGAGGCAGAGCCAGCAAGGAGCCGGAGGCGGTGCGGAGTGACCTTGGTGGCTCGCGCAGACCAGAGGGGTCAAGGCCCGGTGGCCTGGAGACCCGCCGCTGAGCGCGCAGCTGTGGCACCGGGCAGGGGTGTGCGGGGAGGTTCTGTCGGGCCGCAGAGACTTCGACTGGGCACCAGCTGCGCACACAGCGCTGGGCTGAGCCCCCAGGAGTCAGGAGGGAGCAGAGCTGGGACGCCAACGAATCCACTCTGACTCTAGGTCCGCGAGAAAGGGCGCTGAGGAGACTCGCGACCCGGGCTGGGGAGGGGCCAGGGCCTTCCCTTCACCTGTGGTCCGTGTCCTCATCTTGTGTTTCTGGTGCCTGAGGCCCGTGAGTGTCTGGGATCTGTGGGTTTATCACTTTCATCAAATTTTTAAACATTTGGCCGTTACATCTTCAAATACTTTTTCCGCTCCTCCTCGCCCCACCACCGGGGAGCCTCCGATTCTGTGTGTATTTGGCCTCTTGAAGTCTCACGGTTTAATGAGCAAGTTCTGCTTTCTGAGTCCAGTCTTGTGTTTCTCTCTGGGTTTCGCTGCGGATGGCCGTGTCCTCAAGTCCACGCGCCCTCCTCGGCTGTCACCTCTGCCCCGCGCGGTTTCATCTCTGGGCGTTTGACTTGGGGTTTTCATCCCGTCCGCATCCCTGGGCCCCGTGCCCTTGTCTGCGGACCCCTCCTTTGTGCCGTCCGGGCCAGCCTCGTGGGCTGATTCCTCCCCTGGTTGTGCGTGCTGCCCGCCTGCCTCGTCTGCGCGCCTGCTGGGACGCCGGACGCCGTGGACGTTCCCTTCCTGTGCTGGGGCTTCCGTGCTCTCATCAAGGGCCTCGGTCCCGTTACGTTACTTAAACACAGTTTGAGTCCTTTTGGGTCTTGCCTTTAAGGTTTGTCGGTGGGGTTTCAGGCAGGGTTAATTATACCCCACTGTCAGGTGGGACCCTCGTGAGCACCCTGCCAACGCCAGTGAGTCTGGCTGTCGGAGCGGGCACTGTCACAGGCCTGTGTGCGCTCGGGACCAGACTCCCCTGGCCTCTCAGTGGTTCTCTCCCGGCCTCCAGCACGCTCCTCACACCACGCGCTGATCCCTGCTCTGCAGACTCTGTGGCTCTCTCCTCTCTGGTGCTCCGTCCTGCAAACTCTTGCTGCCTGGGCTTCCTGGGACTCCCAGCTCCGTGTCTGCCCTCCGGGGACCCCTGAACCCGCCTGGGTCCTCTGCTGGCGCTGCAGTTGGAAGCTCTGGAGGCGGTGAGCTGGGGTGGTCGGAGGCTCCCCGCCACACGACATCGGACGTGCAGACTCTTGAGGCGCTGGTCCAGCTTTTGACTTGTTTCCTATGGAGGCAGGTGGGGCCTTTGCTCTCCATCTTGGCCGGAAGCAGAGGCGTTTGTTAGACCAAGCCGAGGCCTCGTGCGCAGAGCACCACCTCCCCCTCCGTGACCTGCCCCGAGGGTGGGGCTCCTCGGGCTCCTGCCTCCTCGCTCTGCGCCTGCTGCATGGGGCTGTCCTTCCAGGGACCCCAGTGGCATCTTGACCTGACCATGTGTCCCTGTGAAATGGGGCCTGTAGCGGGGCCCCCATGAGGCCTGGGCCCCCTGCCTGCCCCATCGGGACACGTGGTCCAGCAGGGCCTCCTGCGAGGGTCCACGTGGTAACCCTGCTGGTAACCCAACGGTTCACCAGCTGTCCCTTCAGCACAAGTGGCCCCAGTGTGCCCTGTGACCCCGTGGCCACACCTTTCCTCTCCGGAGGCCCTGAGAGCATCCAGCCAGAGCTGGTGTGTCACAGGACTGCCCTGGAACGTCACAAAGCCCCCGAGTCCGCCCTGGGGACTTCGCTGAAGTTGCCACAAGCAAATGTGACCCCCAGCAGAACCGTCGCCAAGGCAGTGCCCACTGCAGCCTGAGCGGGGCGAGGCGGCCGCAGCCAAGCTGTTTGGCATGTGGCTTCTCAGTGCTGTTCCACGTGGCCTGGGTCTGGAGACCAAGTGGGCAGAGCTTAGAAAAGGGCCACATTTGGACAGGACACTTGCTGGGACATCTGAGCAGAGGCAGGCACTGGGGGAGCAGGCGTGGGACCCTGTGGCCAGGGGCATCGTGGGCGGTGAGAGAAAGGGGTTCCTGCTCTGGAGTGACTGCTTCCCTAGTGAGACTAGTGTGTCCAGCAGACCATGCGACCCGGGCCTGTCTACCCACAGACCCAGGGGGCAGGGGCCTGGAGACGTGGGCTCCCAGCTCGGTCGGCCCTGGTCCTGACCCTCGTGGCCATCAGTTTTCTAGTCTCTGAGGTGGACATGGGTACAGCCCGGGGTGTGGCTCTCCTGAGACCTGATCTGGGTGTGAGAGGGTGGGGACCCCTTCCCGAGGCCTGGGCAGGGGAGAGCCCCCAGGTGGCCTGGGGCGGGGGTGTGGCCATCTCCGCCGGCCACATGGGCATCCTGCGTGGCCACCAGTACTAGTGGGAGCGGGGTAGCTGCGGAGTCAAGTACCTGTTAAGACCCGAACTGGGGAAAGCTGTCACCCTGAGGGTCTGTGGCCTGCAAAGAAGCCGACCCAGGCCCCCCTGACCTGCTGCTCATGTGGGGAGGAGCCCTGGGAGCCCACAAGGAAGTTCCAAAATTAACACAGTCGTCCGGCTGGAGAATCATGGCAGGCCCTGATGTGGGGCCGACTGGAACCTGCCGTCTCCTCCCTAGGGCCCCCGAGGACTGGGAGCTCCAGGGCCCTGAGCCCTGGAGTGACAGCCGCAGGCACGGCCTGGCCCGCGCCTCCCCCAGGCAGCTCGGCCCTGGTCCCACGGGCAGCAGCGGGCCGCCAGCCCCAGGCCCTGCTGGTCTCCAGAGGGAGGCGTGAAGGGGCGAGGGCCCCGCCCGGCTGGCCTCGGCCTCCTCGTCCGTCCTGTCTTGTCTGCCGTGAGGGAGCACACCCTAGCCCTGCGGCAGGCGGGAAGCACCCCCACTGTGGCTCCTGCTCTGACAAGACAGGGCTCACGCCTCCGTCTCCAAGAGTTTCTAAAGAAGTAAAGAACTTTCCCTTTCTCTCGTTTCCCATAACGCCCGCCCAGAGGAGCTTCCAGCTGAGGGACGGGGGGCAGAGGCTGAGCCCACCCTGTGTGGGGTCCCTGCCCGGGTGAGGGTGCCCAGAGGGCCGAGCTCAGGCAGCGGGGGCCCAGCCACCGGCCACATGCGGGCCCGGCTGTCCTGTCTCCTCAGGGCCCTCTGCTGTCCTGGGAGCTCTCGCCTGAGATACCCCCCCACCCCCGGGCCCAGGATTTGCCAGGACGCTGCCCTGCCTGGAGCCGGGATGCTCTGCAGGAGACCCACTCCTCGGAGAGTCCCCAGTGCTCTCCCTGGTGACAGGGTCACACGCCAGGAGGCTTTCTCAGCTGAGGGGCTGCACGTGCCAAGGCTGGAGGGCACTGTGGGTGTGGGGTAGGCGTGGGGGTGGGAGTGGGGGTAGAGGCATAGGGAGGCAGAGGGGCCCATGGACTTTACCCTGGTCCTCATGTGGGGATTCTTTGGGCCATTCGAGAATCAGTAGCATTTGCCCACAGCCCCGTGGGCTGGACCCTGGCTAGGACACAGAGTGGAGGGAGAGGGTCCCAGAATTGGCCCTCAGAGGCAGCTGTGGTGCG